TCGAAAGTTTAGTCTCAAGTTGTTTCAAATTCAGCTTATTCAAATAGGAAAATTTATGAGCTTGATTAGCTTCGGAGCATATTTTTTTCCTCGTAATTATAATTTTTCTTGGTGCTTGAAAAAAGCGATGTTCAAAAAAGATGCGTTGTGAAAAAATTTACAATGTACTTGTTTTTTACTGATTTTAAATTATTATTTTTTGCATATAATCGCTTAATTAACTATTAGCTTCATTTTACTATAACTTATAAATCATATTCTTACTTATTATGATAATTTCTCTACCTTAAACATTTTTTATTTTATTTTATTCTATTATCAGCGAAAGTTGCTTGCCTCTCAGAAAAAAAATTCTACAGTAATCTGACCAAATGATCAAAAAGGTTCACAAAATCGGGTTTCCCACGCTGATGGCTTTCGAACGCAGTCTGGCAACTCCGCCAGTGGGCGTGGCCAGCGATAGTCGCGGCCACGCCTACTTCGCAGAGGACGATCGCGCTCGTCTCGTCGGACTCGGTTGTCGGCTGTCACTTAGATGTTGCACACCTACCGTTCGTAGCTTCATCATCGTCCAATCGCGTTCGGTTGTGATCTGTTCGAATCAATCGATACTCAGCTAGGGAATAATCTATTGAAAGGGTTCCAATGAATCTGAAAGCTTTAGCTCTACTCGTTATTTTGAAAACGAGTGATGCATTGAGGTGAGAGATTACGTAGTTTTTTTTGAGGGGGGGGGGGTGAGCAGGGAGGGTAGTTTTTCAATCGTAAAACTGAGATAATAAATCTCCGTTTCAACTAAGCTTAAAAGGGCTGGGAGTTATCTTTCAGCGATAGTTTCTTTCCTTTGCTAATAAATCTCCGTTTCAATTGACCGTAAAATCCGAAATTTCAATATTGCTAATAAATCTTCGTTTCACTTGAGCATGAAAAGCTGAAATTACCCTTCGGTCATATTTTTCCTCATTGTTGAAAAATTTTCTGTTTCATTAGGCTTGAAGCTGTAACTAGAAATTTCCTAGTTGGCTTTTCTTTGCTAATTAATCTCGGTTTCAACTGAATATGATAAAGTGAAATTAAATTTTCGGCGAGATCTCCAAATTGCTAATAATTTCCGTTTCATGTAAGCGTGAAAACACTAGAATGGCGTCTTATTTATTTCTTTCTTCTGCTTTTGCCCAGAAAAATCCTCACAATTGTATTATATAACACTAAAATTTTTTCTTTGTACTCAGCAACTGCTTCTGTACTTTTTACCTCATCGAATCTGTATAAACGTGCAACTATTGCTATCTTGTGCTTTTTTGTTGTGTTATACTCCCTTGGGGCTGTTATTTACACCTCCAGCATCTTGTTGTTGTTTTCTATAGATCTCGCTTTCCTCCATTAATGCATTGTTATTCTCTTCATACCCCCAGGCCCCAGGGGTCTGATAAATGTGGCAACTAGTTATCCCTTCCTCTTGGGATAACCCAGCTGTTTCTTTCTTGGGATAGAGGTGTTGTAGTAATGTAACCACAAGTGCATCGAGAACATTAGCGGCATTTTTGTAAAAGTTGCAAGTCTTGAGACAACTGTCACAATTTTTTTATTTGAAACCTGTGTGTTTGCAACTGCAAAAGCAGAGGAAAACTTATCAGCACTTATGGGGAGTAATCGCTTCTTATCAGTGTAACAAAGTGTCATTCCAGCAAGACCCCCGTGATTCAGAAAATCACTGACGTGTAAAATTTCTAAGTTAAAAATTTCAAAAAAATTCTTCATTGAAAAATGAAAGTGGAAAGGAAATTTGTTTTAGCAAAGTTTGGACGGAATCTGTTTTTTTTGTATTGTAGTTAGGGCTTGAGCCGGGGGGGGGGGGGGAACAAGAGAACGTACGACTAGCCGGAGTGGTTGTGTGAACTGAGTGGGGGAAATGGGGTTTTTTTTGTAACAAAGAGGAAGTCCATCGTAAATCGTTATGAACATGTGAGAGTCCAAGTGCATTGAGGACTATACAGAAAATTCTAGTATTAGTTTATCCAATTTTTCTTCAAAATTTCCCAAAAAGTTATTCTAAAATTTTCGTGCCAAGAATTATTGTTTTCGGTGTTTACTACTCTAACGTCGCAACTGTCTTTGTAAAACTAGCTCTGCATTTTTGTTTGTCAAATCCTATACCTGAATAATCGTATTTTTTTCACCTAATGTTGCGGAAATTACTGGAAATTATTGAAATTTGTCGTTCCCTGGAAAAACCCCAGAATTTCTATTTTTGGATGACTTATAGCACCAGACAATCCTTCCACCTTTTTATAGCCCTTTTTACCCCGATCCAACGGTAAAATCATACTTTTTTGCTATGATGTGCCAGAAATTGTTGAAATTTGGTACATTCTGGCTTCCCAAAATTGTTGTTACAATATTCCCACCCGCCTTTTTGGTAGCTTTTTTTACTCCCAAACCGACAACAATTTCCTCATCGTATCCGGACCTTGCGTGATTTGATCTGTCACCCGATTCTCGCCCAATTCTCAATTATCTTTTCAGTCCCGAATTTAAGCGTTGTGTTTTTCTAAGGTTAATCGGTTAAAACCAGCTCGGTACTATGCATTATTCGGCGACAGTAGCTACAATATTTTGAGCAATCAGATCATTCATGCAATTTATGCGATGCTATGATGCGAATTTTGGGAAAAAAGTGAAAAGTGCAAAGTCTATCATCATAATGCGCTAAAGCATTGATAGCGCGTTTTTGTGTTCAAAAAGAGGTTTAAGGATAATTTATGAACGTTATTTTCTTCCTTCGTTCAATCTCTTTTCTGAACATCTGTCAATGTCAAAACTTCCACAGATTTTTTTTCAGAGAAAAAACTATGTAGTAATCCTGCACTTTGATTTAGCCTGGCTTCATTTTTATGATTTTTCGCGCTATCGAATCGATCTACCAGCAAGTAAATCGTCAAAACATGGTTGCAAACACTATTTGAACAATGACGTTTGCCAAAATTATGGTGAACTTCAGGTACGAAGAAAGTTTAGTAAGTTTTTTAATCGAAAATGCTAAATAAGACTTTCTCCTCCCAGAATTACCAAATATGGATTCAAAGGAGTACATATTTATTGCGTAGCACTGAGAAAAAAATAATAATAGAGATAGAAATAAAAATAGTAGTTCACAAAAGTGTACAATGTAGTATTTATTATCAAGAATGTAGTAGTATATTGAAAATTAAAAAATCAATTTCCTAACTTCGTTTCGTTCCTGCCCTCAGGCGGAGTGAAGGAAGTTTTGGGTCTCCCCGGAACTCCTCACTAAGGAAGGAGAGCCCGTGATATATGTGTTATTTTTATTTTTGAAGGTTTTTGGTGACAATCGTCAAAATGGAAGTCGAAGTCGTCAAATTCTTCACGATATTTTTCGTAGAGACTGTAATGAACAAAAAAAACAGAATTTTCTAATTTTTAATTTCTAATTTAACTTCTTACAGAAAGCCTATCAATTTTTTAAAGTAAGTCTGTGCATAGAAAAAATTTCTGTTATTCTTCTTTGTTGCTAGCAATGTTTGTGCTTACTGTGAGCGTCTGCAGATTTCTTGGAACACTTGCAGCTCTCATTTTTATTGCTTTTCCTGTCTTTCACTGATAAGCACAAGATCAAGTGATTAAGTCTAGAAAATACACGGCTCCTTCGACTAAGAAGTCTAAAAAGGGGGATTTGAGGTCAGTAAATCTTTGTGACGTTGACAGTTGAATGTTAGCTTTGTTTGCAAATCTGCTATGTTTGAGCTCATTCAGCTTCTTTCGTGAATCAGCAGCGTTTCGATTTTTGATTTGAAGTATGAATTTTGAGTAAATGAATCAATATTGTATTCGCTATAAGTTGTTATTTGAATTCGAAGTACCATATTTAGGTTTGTTAATCCCTTTACCTGGAAAAAAATTTCAAGAAAATTCTTTTTGATGCAAAACACTGAATCATTTTTTCGAGCATATGTCTGGAATGGTTATTTATAAGCTTTGATAAAAAAGCGATAATAAATTTTTATATAGACAGTTAATTAATCAAATTCTATGTATTAAAAATCGTAACTCCAGTTCAAAAAAACATCAGACACCGGGAAACCGCGGTGGGTCCCGAAGCGCGCGGATGCAAATCTAGCATAATTACTGGTTTGCTAGCAATAATAATATTCAGTAATTTTTTCCAGGATTTCATATTGTATCGTCCTGTACAAAATCTGATCGATGAACGTCTCTGTCGATAAAATCCAATCTTCTATCTCAAAACTAATATTGTAGAAATTCCTGCACGGAGAATGTTCAAAATTTGATAATGCAGCGACAAATCTCATTATTTTTTGGTCCACCTTCCCTCCTTTGTTTCTGGTCATCTAAAAAATTTTGTGTACGTGGCTTCTAGCTTTTCTGCAAAGTCTGCAACAGAATTGGAGATTCCAAGAATGTTTTGTCTAGAGATTGTAGGCCGAAGCAAAATAATCGCACAGAATGACACTATTATGGAACTTTGTTCTGTTGAGGCGATCAACAATGACTTTAAATATTTACTTCGGGGGAGAGTCCAAAGAGAGAGGAAAAACAAAAAAGAAAGTAGGGATTCAATAATATAAGAGCAACAAAATGATATTGTAGAAAACGTAATGGCAAAAACAGTAGAAATTGTTTAGAAATATGAGACGGTAAAACTTTTTTGGGTTTAGTTTGCCCTTACAATTTTTTTCGACAGTTTGAGAGGATTATCAAAAAAGGAATTAGCAATTTGATTATTTAAAACAAAAAATAATACAGAAGAAGATAGTAAAAACAATAGAAATTGTAAAAATGAGATAGTAAGACTTTTTTTGGGTTTAGAACGCCTTTATAAGTTTTCTGAAGTTGATGGGGCCATTTATTCTTAAAAATTTTTCTTGTACCTGTGGCTGCAAAAGTTTCTGAAAAATTGATTAGAAGTTATAAAAACGAAATTAATTCCCGTTTCTCCATACGAATTTTCGATGATTCAGATGTCAATGCTCATCGGACGCTGGCGGTGTCCCATGCTACAATGGATGGTGTGATGTACAGAATGCTGGCGGTAAGGTAAGAACACAAAAAAAGTATGAAAGATCCTATAAATATGCAATTTCTATCATATTCATGCTAATTGAGATCTCTTGAATCTTTCTTCCCCACTTCCCCCTTTCCCAAATTCTCACCTTGATGTCCTTATGATGCTAGCGTAATATCTGCTCTCTTTGACCGGGAAGTTCTTACGACGCAATTTGTGAAAGTTTGGGTTCTGAAGCACAGTGAGAATGGGAATATTATTGGAGGAGGGGGAAGAGGAGGGGGGGGGTTAGTGGCTATACAGCGTGGGAGAAGCGATGCTATGTGCGATTTGAATAACAGAAGAACAATATAACGAGAGAATGAGCGGGAATAATAATCTTATACGAATGTTGGAACGGTGCCAAGATATGAAAAAGGTTTGGAAAAAAATACCATCAGATTTTGAACTGGAACACAGTAAACAAATTGGTTTTATTAAAAAGGGAAGGTTGCTAAATTGCTGGATAATTTTGGAAAAATTTCCCATCATGTAAATGAAGTAAATTTTGCGAGATTTGTCCTAAAGATTTTTTCTTCACTCTTTAGAAAATTTCAGCATCTCGTTTTGCCTTTCTTCCTTAACGAACAGTCGGAAAATACATTTTCCTTTGAACGAGAAATTTGATTTTTGTAAAAAAAATGTTCATGAATTTCTTTCAGTTTTTTCCTTGCCTTTCTACGCGAACTGTCGCGGAAAAAACATTTCCGCTTGCACAAAAATTTCGATTTTTGAGATTCGTTCGTGTTTTTTTTATTTTTCTGCTTTTTTGTTTTCTTTCGGCACTCCGTGAAATACGATCGTATGTAAAGATCAAACGCACTACTTTTTTGATCATTTTTCAAAATCTTTTTACCAAACAAAATTGAACTGACAGAAACTTTCCTGCTTCAACGGGACCTCCCTTTTTTCATTGATATCCATAAAGCGGAATATTCATACCATAGCTGGCATACATAGTTGTTAGCTAAATCAAAAAACCCGCTTAACAACTAGGTGCCACTGTAGGACCCTCATAAATTGGGCCATGACGTCGTCATGACACAATTGCCGTGTATGATCGTCATATACGGGTGATTGGTGGGAAGGGAGAAGGTGGGAAAGGGGAAGAAAGGTGATAGGAGGCTTTGGAAGCTGATGTGGATGGGAGGGAGAAGCAGCTTTTCTGACCGACTATAACAACAGAGGGAAATTGGTTGCGATTGATTATCGTTATATTTTCAACTCTTTTTGAAACCGGAAAAATTTCTATCATTTGGCATGTCAAGTTATTCCCAGGGCACGGCACAGGTGGCTTAGCAAGCAAGCTGGATATCGTTTTTAGGGGAAAAGCAAAGGGGATATCGTTTTTGCGGAAGAACATAACGTTTGTCTTTCGATTTGCGGCCGGCACGCTGCCGGCATGCCGCCGGCAAATAAACAAAGGGTTTGTTTACAGCGAATTGAAGATGAAATGACACCAAAATAGGTGTGTAGATGGGCAATGGGGAGTTAGGACTAAGTATGAAGAATTATGAAAAAATTATGTGAACTAAATGCGTGCTCAACTTTTTTCGGAGTTAGGTGGCTTTCAAGCCACCTGGATAGCCACCTGAGGTGGCTTAGAAAAGTAAAAGTCATAAAATTTTTCTCACGCACATAATTTTTCTACTTTCTTTACATACGTTTCATCTACCTTCCAAATCCTACAAACTGGTTCCTAAACCGCCTCAAACCCCCCTCTCCCCGCTTAGTTATAGCCCCTTGAAAATTTTGAATGGCAACGGAAAGGCTGCTCTAGGCGCGTAATGCTGCACGATGGATACATCACGCCGCCAATCCAGAGAATATGAATATCATCGCGTGTGTTCGATGATTCTTTTTCGTTTTTTCTTTCTGTTGTGGCTTTGTTCCGTTCCTTTTCATGTATTTACTCTTCGAATATCTCGTGGCGGATGTCGTAATTTCATTGAAGACAATGAAACTTCATTTTTTGCAATTTCGGGACGCCAGCTCGTGCCGACCCATGGTCTAGGGTCAAAGGGGACTTCGTAAAAATTCGCAAAAGTCAAGGGGGACTTCGTTTTTTGCATTTTCAACTAGCCACCTCGTGCCGAGCCCTGGTTATTCCTACAGTTTTGCATTCTGAGGCATACCGTAACCAGCTCTTTTCCAGGTAGGAGCCTGCGCATTGGCTCGAATCGGTAATCGTCAGCAATTCGCTTGTGTACGAGTGAAGCCGACTAGCGAAGATGCTTGTAAAGTTGATCGACGTCATGACGAAGTGGTGGTGAGTCAGAATTTTTTTTCGAATTAGAAAAAAGCCCGCATTGTTCTTTGGTCGGTTTTTTACGATTTTCGAATTATCTTTTTTATGTTTTGCGCTGTCTATCCAGCTTGTGAAGCTTTTATTCTTATTTTTGTGCGCAAAATCGAGCGGATTGTTCGCGGGGCATGGGGGCTAATTTTGCCTACGGAGCATACCCCCCCGCCCGAAAATGGCGCCAAATCATGCTTTTAACGTAATCAAGCGTCTGTAATGTGAGTCGCGGGCTTGAGACTTGACCGACGTCTCAAATCGTAGACAAAGCAACGGCTACGGCAACGGACCGACTGCTGACTGCTCTCAAAATGCTTTGTCGCAACGCTTGCAGCCTTGAAACGGGGTTTATTTGAGTAGAAATCAAATATTGGCAGAATTTGAACTGGGTAACATTTGTCAGAGAAGAAAAGAGAAATTTCCAGAAATGCAGAAAAAGAGAAATTACTGAAATATCTGTCATTGCTTGTTCTGCACTTTTGCTCTTTGAAATCGTAATCTTAACGTCAGATCGCATGTTTGTTTATACAGAAATGCATAGAATAGCGAAGGAACGAAAAATTGTTTTGTTTTCTTCTGCCGAGCGAAGCTAGCCGTCATTTGGAAAATGCTAAACGATGTTATATTAAGCAAAACAAAAGAAAATGTGAAGAAAAGGTGTTGCCAGACAATTTTAATGGCTTCGAGAGGGGTTTTGACTATTTTATTCTTTATTCATTCATTTATCATAGATAAATAAATTATCAGCTGCATCCATCGGATTTTTTATAATATGAAGGGGTAAAAATGTTTGATTAGCTTTTTGTTTCAACCTCCCTCCTTTTGATTAATTAAATTGATTTTTTGATTGATCTATTTTTCAACTTCATTTTATATTATTATATCAACACCTTCAGAATTATGTTGGCATACGAGAAATAAAACAACTCCCCCCCCCCCCACTCTGAAATTTTAAAACTCCTTTAGAATTTTTCTATTGCCGAAATTGTCGAGTCCGTTAGCCTGTCTATCATTTTCTTCCCTAATAGATTCAGTATAAGGAAGAACTCCAAAACTTGCATCAAACTTTTATGATCTTCAAAATCAGCTGATCTACAGGTTTGTTATATTCTATACCCCCTTCCCATCCCATAGTTACTATTAGAAAGATTCTGTCATAAAGCCAGATAATTGCGAAGTTAATAATCTGGTCAGAGGCATAACAACCCTGAATATGATGCTATTAACATGGGTGAAAAAATCCGTGTATTAGCTATGACACATACCTATTGTCCTAGTTTCTGAAAGCTACTTATTAAATGGACCCCCTGGACTAGTTATAAGTCAGAACGATTTTTGTTGAAATCGTGGGATGATAGTGCAAATTCATTCATTTTCGTAGTTCGAGGAGAAGTGATTTGTGGAGTCACAACGTCAAATTGATAGCTTAAACTAATTGATAAAATTCTGGTCTCTTAGCTCGTGGAGGTCGAGGATGATTTGCGACCACTCAAATTTACTTGGAAAAATGCCAAATATAGATTTTCGTTTGAGTTGGTGAAATGAAGTGAATAACAACCACATCCTAGCTTACAGTTTGCCAATTTTTTGTTGAGAGGGTGAGGGGATGGAGAGGAGAAAGGAGCGAGGTGGTCTTACAATTTGTCGTAAAATTTGCATTTGCTTTATTATTGACTAATGAAAATAGTTCCATAAATTGTTGAAAATATTATTGAAAAATTCATTTTTTCGGAAGTGTGAACTTGCAAAAAAACACTGAGCCCTTTCTCCTCCCCCCTCCCCCCTCTCATTTTTTTCCCTCGGAAATTTTTTCGAACATTTTTTTCAGTGATCTGGTGGAGCCTAGATAAATCTTAGTTTCCTTATTATTTTCCCCAATTTTGTTTTCGTGAGACATGTGTAGACTACTTCTTTAATTTGGTAATTTGCAAAAAAAAATTTATAGGGTTTGATTTAATCTAAAATTAGGATCTTATGCTTCGACATTTGACTACCAAAGAAGCAAACATGCTATGATAAAGCCAATCTAGTGTCCATCAAAGATATATAGAAGAGAGTAGCTTGTAAAGTCAAAGAACTCGTCCAGGTAATGTGATTTCTTTCATGTGCCATAAGGAATGTTAAAACTTATTACTAATGTTTTACTGCGATTGTATTGTACGTAATTTAGCATCTGGTTGGGATGACAAGCTGTTCGCATTCAACTATGAATCAGAGCTGAAGCGTGTAATTCAGCTACAACACCTTTTTATTTCCTCTTTTCCACCTCGTATTTCCTACCACCACCCTTTTGTTTTCTTCACCAAGCAAATGTACGAATGCTTAGCTTCATTCCTGGCCAGGCTCGCGCCGAAGTCAGGAATGAAGCGCCTGAATTAAAAAAGCAAACAGAGACCATGGAAGAGTCGTGGCTCGCGCACGGAATGAGCATAAGCGAAGCTGAGTCAGCCCCAGCCAGCAGCCATTAGCTTTGTTTGATCATTGCTTCGGACCCTCCCCCCCCCTCCCCCGTCCTCGTGCACACAATCGCTATTGTAACAAGCTGAGGGCTTTTGCATGAGACTGTGCGGGGCGAGAGGGAATGACCCTCGAGCCGGGGGCGCAAATCAGCTGTTTCGGACATAAAGCATCGCGAAATGAGGCGTTTTGGGGTTTTCTTGGAAGTTATTACAGCCAAAATTAGCTTTAACAAAGATTTTAGTGGGTAATTAGGCATATGCTCACTTTTCAAAGGAGTTGATTTTATCTGTTGGTCTAGATTTATGCACTTTCTTGAGGGAGATTACCCCTAACTACCCCTAAACCTCAAAGGGTGAAACTTTTGGTACACTTGTGGATACTTTTGCGAATATATAACAAAGTACTAGAACTAGGCAAACCGTACTACGGCTTAGGTAACATAGATAGCTGACAAGTCTTACAATGACATTTTGCAAAGGGACCAGTTTTCGTTGTGAGAGAATGGGAAGCCCTGCAAGAAGATGAGTGAGTGTACCTCATGAAAATGGTAGCGTTTGCGTTCGCTGTCTCAAATAATTTTCATAAATATAGAAGTTGGAAATAGATATCGAATATGGAGAGAAATGAAACTTATGTCCAATAGTTTGATCTCCACAATCTCTCATAGATTTGAAATTTTGACAAAAAAGGTAAGTAAATGCAGTCCTAATTTTATCATTACAAATGAGGGCATACACATTGATAAAATTCTAATCAATAAGTAATTTAATGATGAATTTTTTGAACATAATTTATAGAAACGTTACCTGTACCAAAAAATGTCAATGGACCACTGAAGTATTTTGGCAATCTCTCGCAATCTGAATTTTCTCCAATTTTGTTAGAATTAAGTTTCCTCATTCTTTCCGATGTATACTTCCTCGGGTTACACGCAGAAAGAGAACTAGAACATAAAAAATAAATGGTACAGATTTCCATTCCGTTTCGATCCTAATTACTAGACAATCAGAAAAATTACGGCCTTTCCAAAGAGGATAGTTGAGTACAAGTTTTCTGGCAAATTCTACGAATTCACAGTTTTCAAATTTTGCAGACAGCTTGAACTAGATATTCTGCACTTACTCTACACTTTCTTGCTTATAAAACTTTTGCTCACTAGCTGGATGTTTACCCTGCCGCAAGTTTTAAATGTGTACTACTTTTCGTAAAAATTTTGTTTGACTTCTCTTCTAGTTTCTATTTTTATTTTTCAAGCCTGAATCTTCTTCATACAGTCAACACCAGCGAAGCTCAAAGCTTCTCATTGTCGGTTATTTGGAGCTTCTGCCGGTTTCAGAGGGAAAGTGCCGCCGGTGCACCAAAAAGAGCTCCTCGTACAAAAAGAAACGGTCGCTTCATTGCAAGTTTTTCTCACTGGGAGGGAAAGAGAGGAGACTCGTACCCGACCGACTACTAGATTGGGGAAAGAGCTGGAAATTGAAGAAAGTTGGAAAAGTGCCTTTCTGGACGAGTTCTCGAGCTCCTTTTGGTCTCAAGCAGTGCTAGCTCCGCATAGGATATGATTCTATATGATTCTCACCACGCTGCTGAATACAAAAGAGCTCAACCTCCAGAGCCGTAATGATTGTTGTTTGTCCGTAATTTTGCGACAATGCGCAGCTATTGTGTGTGATAGATACGTCCGAGTTGAATCAGCAGCAGCCAATGTTTGTTGGCTGGCTTTTACTGTCCGAACGTTACGATCAAATATCTCTGACTAATGGCAATAATGAGCGCCCGGCTATGAAAATCGCCCGCTATCAGGGCAGCTGCTTATGCAGGAGAGCGGAATTGGTAATAAAATATTATATTGCTGCTTTTTTATGGTCTAGTCTAGGAAAGGCGAGATAACGAGGTGTTGATGTCGGCTAAAAAAATTTCAAATTTGCTCATTGGTGGGGAAGCTTCTGATAAGAATATTAGACTAGGGGAAACTACGAAACCAAAGCTACTTTATAATTTTTCTTCAAATTCGAAAAATTAGGCAACATATGAGATGAAGTGTAATAAAAAGAGACTTTCATTGCATCCTCAGCTGCCTTATAGCAAAAAAAAAAAACCCTACTCCCCCCTCGACTGGATTTCGAAATTTGGAGAGTTGGCTGCAGGGGTTATAAAAAGAGAAAAAAAAAATATAAAAAGTGACTTGTTCATACTTGCAAATGATTAAAATTATTTCTGAATTTTTCCTGAAATTTGAATTAGCCTTGTATAAAATTTGAGGGCGTGGTTGCCTCCATGCCTCCTTTTTTCAAAATGTCGGAGTTATGGACCTACAGAAATTTTGGAATTTATCCTAAAAAACTTTTCGAAGTGTTTCGCGTTAGCCACGCCGCTCTATTCGAAAAAAAAATATTTTGTCCTCCCCTCGCTCCTCCCGAACGGAAATCTTGGGTCCGCCGCTGGGGGAAGGGAAGCAAGTATTTGGGTCTGATCACCAGATTTAGATTTCTTTTGGATTTTTGATTAGG